GGTTCTATAATCGAAACACTGTTTCAACTCCAGCTCTTAGATCCCCACTGCTGAAAGCAGGTTTCTGGGGTTTTGTTTAGCTTCTATATTTGTAACATTGTTTCAAACTGCAGCTCAGAGGCCGGCAGCAGCAGGCGGGGAACGTTGGAGTCCTCCGTCACTGAAGCAAGCAAGACTCATGTTCGCTTCCAGCTGCCTGGCTGCCGGCCGCCATCTTGGCTGGCAGTTAATTTGCATATTGCCCTGATTAGCCAATGAGAAGGGCAGCGGTCGTACGCTAATTACCATGTTTCTCCTTTATTAGATAGGATAGTTTCATTCAGTAAACATATCTATGCTTTATAGGGAATCTAACAGGCATTGTTGTTCCTTTGTTTTCCAGCAGTACTAATGAAGATGAAGATTTGAACCCAGAACAGAAGATAGAAAGGGAGAAGGAGAGGCGGATGGCTAACAATGCCAGGGAGCGCTTGCGTGTACGGGATATCAACGAGGCATTCAAAGAGCTTGGTCGAATGTGTCAACTTCATTTAAAGAGTGAAAAACCCCAAACAAAACTCCTTATTCTTCATCAGGCTGTGGCAGTCATCCTTAGTCTAGAACAGCAAGTCAGAGGTAAGTAGGTTCAGCAAAGATACCTAACTGTTCTGCCTCAGGTGGGCAGACATTTCTGTTTCCACTCACTCTTCTAGGCATGTTGTTTGCAAGTTCAATTAGTACTTCTGCCACTGTATCATCTGGATCAGATTTCCTTTCTAGTTCTCTCACCTCTGTCTCACTGTATTGGTCAATATCCATAGGCTCAGTGCTTCACACAAACCAGCAAAGAGTATTTCTGTGTAACAATGCAGAACAGCCAGCCTCCTCCTGCTGCTCAGCATTATGCTTTGTGCCTCTTTGTCTTGTTGATTCTGGTGTCCAACACTTGAATTTACCTGCCTAGACCTGTCCTCCTCCTGCTCCTTCGGTCTTTCCTACTTCTCTGCACTCAGTTTCTTGCCTGCTTTGCCCTGGGGGCATCTACTGGGTCATGCTGTTTAATAGCATGCCTGGTCATGGCCCCTCCTGGCGTGGCCTCATCTGGATGTCCTCTATACCCATGTCAGTAAGGTATCAGGACTTCTTTGTTTGATCCCTGATCCGGAATGCCATGAACTTCTTGGACTGGTATGCACTGGCATGCCTGGATGTCCCTAAGAGCAAAGTGTAATTATTAGGCTCATCCACTAGGACTCAGACAGCTCCCCCGGCTGTTCAACTTCTCAAAAAGTTTGATGGAATCTTGAAGATGCTTTGAAACTTCATTTTTTGAACAAGGATTTATTACTCTGTTCCATTCAGCTATGTGCTAGACCCTGAATTACCAATTATCACAAACCCTGAGAGGTTCTACCATTGATCATCCTTTTTTGCATATTACTTGTATATCTTTTATCCAAAGTTATGAATGCCTCATCCTAAGCCTTTTTTAAAGAATTTATAGGTGTAACCTTGGGTTTCAGATTCTGCCTTTCTCTTCATTGAGAGAAATTCATCTGTCTTATTTATTGGATATTTATGTAATATTTTTATGTGAAGGAAGTTGGAAAAGAAAAAAGAAATAGGAGTAGACAGATGCTTGACAACTAAAACCATGAAACTCTCTGCACTGATTACAGGAAGAGTACTCTCTTTAGTCGGGAAAGCAGAGTTAGAGAACTAGAACACACTTTCAGAAAAACATACAACAGTAACTTAACCATCCACTTCCCATCAGTTTCTACAAAGGTGTTGATTTTGTTTTCATGTCTAGTTTGGGCGTCCCCTGGACATCCTCTGGACCCTCTGGGCTCCCCTCTGGTTTGGGAGGGTGCTCCAAACTATAAGTAGCTATGTACATCCTGTCATCCCTGGACCAGTGTTCCACTTGGAGGGCAGCCGGACCCAGGCCCAGTGCATCTGGAGAACAGCAGGAAAAGTGGCTTTTCCCTCCAAGCCTCAGATTGTGCCAAAGCACTCTTGGTGCCTTGGTGCCCCACGTATTAAATCCTATCTGGTCCCTGCCATTGCCGATTTAAGCCTTTACCTTATTACGACTACGAGTTTGCTAATCCTCAGCAGATTTACTTATTACCGTCATGTTTGTACTCTTAGCTTTTACTAAAGGTTGAATTACAGGTCAAGTACTTCCTCATCAAACTCTTTCACAAGGCAGTGTATCAGCTCCTCTTTCCGTGATAATTTAGACTCGATAGAACTGTTGCAATTTTAGTTTCCTGGCCTCTTAGAGAGCTGAAGGTGAGTAAACTAGGACAGTGTTTCCCAAATTGGCTTGGTCGCAGGATCTTCTGAAGCTTTTCCTTTTTCTAAACACATTTCCAGACCGTAACCTAGTAGATTTTAATTTAGTTGCAACAAGATGGTCAAACATGGTAGTTTTAGCATATTCATTGATAATACTCTCCTCCTTACTAAAATAAATAAAAATGGAATTAACTCACAAGGACAGATGGGAGATAAAAGAGCAGCTGAGATAGCAAAAACTGTATTATGTACGATGGAAAGAAAGTAGAATAGTGGAAACTGACTTAGAGAGAAGAGATGAAGGGGGGGGAGCCTGGAGGAAAACCAGCAAGAAGCAGAGCAGGTGCCGCGTAGAGCCCCTTTTCCGGAACGGCTCTGCACTTTGGAGGTGCTGATTATTGTGGCAGCATCGGGCCGGAAGCAGAAAGACTGATGGAAGATCTTCTGTGGAAAAGTTGGATCCCTAAGTCTCTTCTCCACTTCATATTGCTCCTGCCCTCTCTTCTCTTCCACCGTAAAAGACAGAAGGGGTATTTTCTAGGGGGAAAATGAAAGGCTGCAAATACGGATCACCAAGAAAAGCAGAGGATCTGAGAGGCATGAAATTGAACAGTGAACCCCTCAGCCCCGTGTCCCGCTTTGCTTCCCTAGTGCTGGCAGCCAAGTACATTAACCCCATCTTCAAAAAATTGGAGCGTTCTTTTCTAGAGAAACTAAATGCTCTAGAGAAAAGACCTCCAGATTTAGCATTCCTGAGTAACTATGTCTCAGTTTTGGATTACCATAGAGTAAAACTCTCAGAAATGAAAATAACAGCAGTTTGCTCAGTTTAAGACCTAAGAGTCCCTGATTCATAACTTATGACTGTAGTAATAAAAATTATTTTCCTCTGTTTCAGAGAGGAATCTGAACCCCAAAGCAGCCTGCCTTAAAAGAAGGGAAGAAGAAAAAGTTTCTGCCGTATCGGCAGAGCCGCCAACCACACTACCAGGAACCCATCCTGGGCTTAGTGAAGCTACCAACCCTATGGGTCATATGTAAACATCAGCCAGGTAAGTAAGAGTATGAAAAGGAGGTCACCTCATTTATCTCAACGTTAGAACCTTTGAACAGAATGCTCTAGTGGCACTGGTTGTGCTAAAGGTCAGGTGTAATTTGGAATCCAACAGTTTACCTTTCTGTTGTATAGTCATACTTACAGAGCCAGTGTCCTCTTATACCCGGTTACTATTCTCTTCAAAGTGCAGCCTGTGGTTTATAAAGAATTTGGGGTTCTGTTCTGGATCATCATGAATGTCATTCTGGTCCAGGAAGAAAATAGTACAATGACTCTTCCTCCAAAAAATACTTTTGCTGCCACTTATACTCCTCATTTCTCTACTAGAAATACTTAGCTGTATCGTCAACCAGTTTTCTGTTAACCATCCACCTCTTCTTTGCCATGAAATATTCATACGCATACAAAAAAGTTACTGCTTGTTTCCATTGGATCAATAATGCAAGTTTGTAATATGCCTCTTTATTCCCAGTAAGAATATCAGTTACACCTTGAATCTACAGATGAATGTAAAGGTGTCATATATGCTAGAACCAGAATGCCCTTCTCTCTGGAATTATACTTGTTGAAAGATGGTTCTTTTATTTTCCTCTTCATGGACTAAATACAGTTTACTTTCTTGTGATTTTTTTAACTGAGTGACAAAAGTAATATGGGTTTGTTGCCCAAGTTGTTCATTTGAATCACCTTTTTCTTAACTATATGCATTTATGTTATCTATAATCTAAGTTGTATAGTTAATGTTTAGGTGGCAGAAATTAATGCTGTCTGTAATTAAATATTTTGGACAGTAGCATTTTAGCTAATCATCATGGATTAGGAGTAGAACTGGGAACTTCATTTTATGATCTGCTTCAGCAATGGGAAGTTGTTTTCCCAGTTTCATCAGGAGAGTAAAAGCAGTACGCAAAGATGAATGAATGGGAGGTGTGGGACAGGACAATAATTTCGAATACAATTTCACTTGATCAGCTTTATAGCTGTCATTTTGAGCTGAAAGTCTGGAATTTGATAGAATAGTTTGCAAACTACAAACACTAGTCAGTAACTCACCCTTTCCTGAAAACTATGGTTCCTACCACCTCTATACATAGCCTTCCTAGGAACAAACTATACCAAAAAACTTCATTTGGGGCCAAGAGGAAGAATGCCAATGTAATTATTTAAGTATTGATTATATTCTAATACTAGCACACTGGATAAAACTCTAAGCCATGTCCCCCACACAAACCACCCATCAATCTAATTGTGCAGGCCCTAGAGACTTCAGGCAAGAGCTGGTTAACATGCAGGCCCTCTAAAACCCACGCCACTGCTTCCCATTCTGTGGAAAATACAAAATATCCTGAAAAAAATTGTTTTCAAAAATAAACTTTGAAATTTTAAAATAAAAACATACCACTATTTCTTAATGCAAAAATGACTTTCTAAATTAGCAGATTATTTTGAAAAGGTGTGATGCGAGGTAACTTCTTATGCTCAGGTCCCAGATAACCACGAGGCTGTGAAAAGAGAGCTTTATGTTCATCTGTCACATTTACCTCAGAGCCTGTGTCTTATTTTTCTTCTTTCTCTCTAGTTTGTTGTACCTGTTTTCTCTTACCCTCTCCCCCCATTTCTCTCTCTTTAACTCTCTCTCCCTACCTCACATCTATCTTCCCCGCTTCTGTTTACTTCCTGCTCTTTTTACTGGCTCTGGATCTCATATGACTTTCATATCTCTACCCATATCTCTATAATGAGGAAATTCCCCCACTTAAATTAAACTTTTGAGATTCCTACCTATCAAAAAGAGTTTTATCAAAAATCCTTTTTTTAAAAAAAAAACATAATGTAGTAAATGCACTTTGTTCCATTAGATTTTATTGGTTAGTGTTTATAATTTCATAAAGGTAGTTGTCTGGTTTCACCTGATAACCTTCAATTCTTTATAGAACTGGGCGGCAGATGAAAACCAGCAAGAAACTGAGCATCAGGAAAATAACTGCTAGAATCAAATTAGCTGATAAATGATCACAGAATGAATGACTGTAAAAGCACAAAAATTTTCCACCATGTAATATAAGGCCAGGTGGCTTTGAGTATCTCAGTTATCTATCCCTAAGAGCATCCCTCTATTACAAACAATATTGTGGTTATTGTTGGAAAAGGAGGTGAAAAGTATGAATCTTCCTAAAACTATTTCCATAAAAAATGGCTAAAATGGAAATTTTTAGAGTCACTACTATCTATATTAAGGATATAAATATGTGTAAAATGTGGACTATACATTTTCTTAAAAATTCATTGAGCAAATATTTCTAGAGGACCTGCTATTGACCAGGAACTGGGATCAATGTGAAGATGAATGCAAAATGGTCCCTGCCTTCAGAAATGTTCAGTTTAGAGAAGATAGGTATAAACTGTTAACACAGTGTGATTGATGGGCTGCAGGTAACAGGAAATGTGTGTGTTAACATTGTGTCTTCCCTGAGAAATGCATGGGTAGAACCTCAAAGCTCAGGTATTGTCAATTGGAATGTTGCTCAAATTAAGGTTGGCTTAATTGTCACAGCTGTTGTATAATCCTGTAGTTTGTGATTCTATAATCACATGATCTCCTTTAAAAATCTTACCACATCTTCAAGTAAAACTATTTTAATTACACCTTGAAAGAAAGAGGCTTATTTAGAAGTCATTTAGGAGACTGCTAACTTAGTGTAAAACTGGATATAAGGAATGTCAACCTTTTGGGTTTGTTTTTTTTCTGGGGAGGTGTTTATTTTAACAGTGATGTGCTAATTGGGTCTGTTCTCTCCCTTGGCTCTCCCTGCCACAGTTCCAGAGTTATCAGTAGGCTAGATAGAAGGTGAACTCTCCTCATAAGGACTGGACAACTCAGATTATCTGAAGACAAACCTGATAGGAGGGAGAAGAAAAAACAATACACTTGAAGCAAGAAACTCAAATGTAATCCTACGATCAAAGCAACTGGTCAACACTTCCATCAGAAGTGAAGATAGGACGTCGCCCAGGAGACATTTGCAGCGTGTCATTTTGTCGCAAGCAGTGTGTCGCTTCTGCACAATCAGAGATTGTCTCGATCTCTCCACTCACCGTGGAAGTTGCCTTGTGCCTAAACTGAATTGACAAATGCATTGTAACTACAAATTTTATTTATTGTTATGGAACTGTAAGGTCTACATATAAAGGGAAAAAGTTAATGTGGAAAGCTGATGTACACTCAGCTGATGCCAGCATTCGTTAAAGCTGTTCACGTGCAGAGAACAAAGCAGTGACAACCATTGGCCCTTAGCATTCCCGGCATACCTGTTAGTGTCTTAAAAGGAAGGGAAAAGTCTTCTGTTGCCCTCTCCTATCCTTTTGCCATATGAATACTGTTTTTCATAAAATAGGAAAATACTACTTGGTCTTGCTTTTCTCTCACTTTCATTTTTTCATTCATTTTTTTATTTTCTATTTGTGGGTGTTGTATTTGGTCTCTGAAATGGGTAGCTTATGGTCACAGTCCAGAATCCCCATGTAGCCCTCTGTGCTGTGCCTGCTTACCTTACAAAGATAAGCAGAGACCATCTGTGACCATAACTTAGCTACAATTTTGAAAGGGGAAATTATGTCCCCTAGATTTTCCCAAAAATAAATATTGCTTTATTTCTAATAATAACCAAGACTTTTCAAGCTTCTAGGTTTCATAGTAAAGCTTGTAATAGGAAGAAGTGTAAATTACAAGGGAAGAATCTACTATTTAGAACTTGCTTTGTTTTCCAAGCAGTAAGTACTACATAATAGTACTTATAAAGTGTTAGCTATAAGTAAGCACAAAGCAGATTTAAAATACAAAGAAGGTTTCAGGCTGTAGTTATGGTGACCCTAACAAAACCCAGTAGTCACCAAGGCAGGTAGTGTGATAAAAGAACACACCACTCTGAGGCTAGTTACTTAATGGGATACAAGAGCAGTGGTCACCCAGGTTTCCTTTTCCTAGCCTTTATTTCTCTGTCATTTGGATGGCTGGGCAGTGGGGAGGAATTCAGTGGGTGATTTAATCAGCTGTAAACCATCTGCCCTGCCCCAAGAAGATGAGCCAGATTAGCATTAAACCAGTGCTTGTCAGTCCATCATAATGCTGTGCACTAATGCACCCCTCTGTCTCTTACCCTTACGAGTTGTTTTTTGTTAGACATAATAAGCACTTTGACCTTCCATGAAATCTGTCTTCCACCACAACTACCCTGGGAGAGAAAAACATGCTAAACAAGGTTGTCTTGGCTTAATAATTCCTTATAGCCAGTATCAACAGTGGCAATCAGCACACAGAAGAAAGGACCCAAATCACTATGTAGCTTAAAGATTTCTGTTCATTTGAAAGAACAAAAACAAGACAGAACTTCAGATCCTCCAATCAGGATGATTCCTAACAAGTCAGTCTTTTGTGAATTTAGTGGACTTTTTAGTTACTTTAATTTGCATATATTCTCCAATTGCATCAGACCCTCTCTGTGGCCTTGTTCTTCATTTCAGTGTTAATCCGCTAAACAGGAATTGTTGCTTATGATGTGTGAGCGGACACAGGCCACTGCCTGGCCTTTTCCTTCGGAGCTTGTTGTCTTTTTCGCTATATTAGACTTTGCAGTATGCCCAGAAGCTTTCCTTCATAAAATAGAGAGAAAAAACATTTGGCTTATTTTTCACTGTAGCTAGTCTTTTATACAATAATCTTGTAAGAAAATTTCTTGAATTCTAAATATTACTCTTTCTAGATTTTTGAAATCGAAAAGTTTTCAGTAAAAAGTTTCTTACTTTATTTTATTATATTAGGTAGTAAAAATGTAGGGTTATTTACCATAACCTGTTCATTAATATCAGAAATTTACAATAGCATTTTAAGACCATAGTAGGACTCTAGCATACCGTGTAGTACCTATGGAGTATTGTAAGAGCTAATTGTCCGAGATGAATTGCTTCTCATCTTGTTCTCCAGTTTCCATTGTTGGTTTATTGCAGATTTGTATCCTGTGTCAAATTCAAGGTATTATTGATAAATCTTTTCAACCAGCAGCACGAAGTTCAAAATTTTTCTGTCACTGTAACAGAAAACACAATATGTATATAACATTTATGTAGCAATAAATGTGCCATCTTTTTTTAACATAGTAAACTAGTGAGTTTTTTAAATTCCTCTCTCAAAGAATAATGCATTTTGTTTTCTTCATCTCATTCCTCTCAGAAATGCCCACACTGCTTTTCTTTTACCCCTGCCCCAGCTTTATTGAAATATAATTAACAGGTAACATTGTAAAGTTTAAGGTATACAACATAACGATGTAATATATGCATATATTGCAAAATGATGACCTCAATAAGGTCATTTAACATCCATCACCTCACATAGTTGCTTTTGTGTGTGTGGTGAGAGGCGCATACTGCTTTCATATCTGCATCATTTATAACATTAAACCCATCAGGACAGAGTCGGCCTTGTAGAACTGAGTTGGTGTTTGAGTCTGTAGCTTCTCTGGGTTTTGTATTTCTCTTGCTCTTCTGAGAGTGGCCTTTTTGCCTTTTCCTTAACTGTTTGACCAAACATCAGTTAATAACTATTCATTTGTAGATCTAGAAATAAATTAAGAAAATGGAAAAATGTTTAAATGAGGCTTTTCAAATGAACATTCTTCAAAGCACTTTTCACATGTTTTATGTCCCTTTTCTCACAAAAAGCCTATATCATAATTAGAGAATGGTTGTATTTACTGTTTTCAGCTAAAAAGTTCTGCTTTCATCCCAGTTCTCACACACACCACCACCACCACCAGAAATATGCATAGTGATTGCCCATGAGAAGTTCATGCCAAGTAAGGGCCTGGGAAACAGTGGGTAGCCTTTCTGTGGGGCCTGTGTGTGAGTTGCCCATGGCCCCATCACACCCTCTTGGGATCCTGGCAGGATGCTTCTCCATGAATTATGAAACCCGCTGTCCACAGATCATTTTGCTAACTGGGGTTTGGTGAAAACAGTTAAACATGTTAATTTCATTTCTCTTTATACAGAACAACTAAAAGTTCCATCTGAAGAAAATACAGAATGTTAGAATTGAAATCTAGAGACTGTCTTATTAACTGCCTCAGTAGTCTATACTAATAAAAGGGTAATATGCTAATTAGACCAGGCGTCTTCCGGATGTCCTGGACAAAGCCACAATGGCGGGGGCCAAGGCAGAGGCAGTTAGGGGTGTTCAGGCCGGCAGGGGAGGGCAGTTAGGGGCGACCAGGCAAGCAGGGGAGGGCAGTTAGGGGTGATCAGGCTGGCAGGTAGAGAGGTTAGGGGTGATCAGGCAGGTGAGCAGTGAGGAGCCAGTGGTCCTAGGTTGCGAGAGGGATGTCCTGGATTGGAGAGGGGGCAGGCCGGGCTGAGGGCCCCCCCCCCATGAATTTCATGCACCAGGCCTCTAGTAGATGTATAAAAACGAAGGCCCAAAGAGGTTGTATTTCTATAAGAACACGCACCTAGTAACAATCAAGATGCTTAAAACTTGGCCTACAAGTCTTGGAGCCTTGATTTGTTCTTTCTCTTGAAAGATTTGTAAGCCAGTTCTATTCATTGGATTTATTTTTCTCTCTATTACATTTTCTTTGATTTTCCTCCTAGTTGATATATTTTTTCTCCTGTGGAAACTCAAATTTTAACTAGACATCACATCATGTGTGTGGATGTATGTGTGTGTGTTCTAAAAGTTAGAGTATTAGCTTTGGCATCATCAGCCCTCAATTTAAATCCAAGCTCAACATCTAACTCCATTTCCTTATCTGAAACATGGAGATACATGTTAGAGTTGTGTAAGTACTGGATGAAACAATGGGTGCAAATAGGATGGGCCTCCAGACCCCGATGCAGGCCTGACATGTGGAGGCAGAGAGGAAGGAGGGTGAGGCTGCCGTGGAGTTCGGGGAGTGTCCTGGCCTGCCCAGTGGGGACCAAGACGATTCCCTATTGAGTCTAGTGTTGGGCAGAAATGTTAAGGAACTAATATCTCTGTTGTGGTCAGTCATTGGCTGTGAGTCACCTGGGGAGTAGACCTCAGAATACTGCAGCAGAGGTATCGCACCTGCAGGTGACAGTGGACCACACTCTCCAGACAGGTGCTTCCCCCAAAAGATCTCAGAAGTGGGGGAGCTTCCACAGCTTCCACAACACCTGTGTGTTACTCCCCACAGAACTGGCAAACAAAACCAACTGTCCTCTGCAGTTGCTGGAACCATAGGTAACCTCAGCAGGCTGATCAGTATTTCAAAATCCGGAATTCTTTCTCCCTTGGCATTCCACAGTCAAAGTGCACCCACACATGTGATCGGGAAGGGTGAATTCCCCCCTCACCTTCATGGGCTGCGACATGGGCTGGCAAATGGTGCCGAGGCCCTGCGGCTGCTGGGCGCAGTATTCTGGTGCTCCCAGGACATCAGAGTCCCAGGCGGTGGATGGCCCACGGTCTTTGTGGCCACCTGGGTTAGACGGCCACATGTTCTCGTGGGGCGTTTCTCTGTGAGAGCGTCCCAGCCCTGGCAGCTCTTACCTCTGCCCTGTTCTGGGGCATGTTCCTGGCAGTACAAATACCGTTTTCTTCTGTCCTCATCTGTCCCTGTCTAAGCACTTACTTCGGAAGATAGCCTGGAAGGTTTTTTCTGTACCCTTTGGCCCAGACCTACAATCTCGTCCCAAAACTGACACGGGGCTCTGCTGCATAGAGCCAGGCTCTGCTTGCTGGAGGCTCCACCGGCCCCGGCACCTCGCTAACGTCCCGCAGCTCCCTGAGCCGTTCTGCCCTCACACACTGTAGGGCACAACCTCCTTTCAAAGCCTGTGAACACGTTTGCAGCCTGAAAAAATGTGCCCCAAAATAGACTACAAAAATCAAATTCATTTAAAAAACAATTATTTAAAAATCATCTCGCTTTTTTATAGCAAAATAAAATTACTTAATGTGGGATTTGAGCTCATTTAAATACGTTTCATATGATGGAGGCTAGGGCTTCCAAAGGTCTTAAAACCATCCCGGGCTCCTTCCATGCCAGTCTCTCGGTTACCCACTTCCCCTCTGGTTTACTGATCGTCTCCGGGGGGAGGACTACAGCTGTGCCTGCCCCCTGGAGGCAAGGACCCTGTGGGCATCGCCAAAGATCTGCTCTGCCTAGACCCGCAGGACCCCCGGACAGCACGGGTTTTTAACAGAACACATTCCCCTGCTCCCAGGGCCAGCTCTTTCCTTCCTCTATGCAGCCCTTGAGAGGTATTGCTTTCTGCCATTTCCTGGACCTTCTGCAGACCCCTTTCCTGCACCCCTGAGTCTTTTCTCCTAATCATTCGGCTGAGGTGGCCGCC